GGGTGAGTCAGCACCCCTCAGCCCTGCATTGTCTGCCTCTCCAAACAGGCACATGGGTGGGGCCCAGGGCCCGACCCCTGAGCTTCCGTCCCGCCTCTCGAGGTATCGAGGAGCACGTTGGCTCCTGCCCTGGGCCTTGGTTCTGGCTGGGCTATGGTCAGACACCCTCCTTCCTCCACCCACCAAGCAAAGTCTTCCTCTGACTCTTACTCTCAGCCCTGCGGAGACCACGCGTCCTCTAGCAGCGTGTCCCCGTCCCCATCGTCCCAGCTCCAGGGACCTGGGACGCCTGCCTCCCTGGTCTAGGGATGCTCCCTCGGCCCAACCAGGGTGGCCCTGAGAGTACAGGTGGCCGGGGAGGCTCCTCATCACCTGTGCTTTTCCTTTCATCTCCTGGCAAAAATCTCGAGCCAGCACATGGGGAAGGGGCCTGGGACGTGATGTGGGAAGATGTGGCCGGGCCCACTCCTCCACGCTCTGCACTTGCGTTCACTCATCTGTGGAACCTAAGGAAGGGGGCGGCGAGACTGGCTGAGCGCCTACCGAGCACCCAGGGCCACACGGCACTTTCCGCGCTGAGTTCAGCCCATCTCGCTGCGACCCTCGGGCAGGCCCACTGCCCGTCCTGCAGGCACGGGCACAGGCTCGCAGCGGGCCCCACCCAGGGCCACACTCAGTGGCAGAATCCAGAGAGGCCAGGCTTTTCCCACGGTTGTGGGGGCTCCTCGAAGCCTGCACCATCGCGGGGTCAGCATGGGAACCGGCTGAGGTGGCCTCTCACGGCTCTGCTGGTTAGGGACCTCAGATCCGCGTCGCTGGGCCAAGGTGAGCTCCCCCAGGCAGACGCTGAGGCAGAACCTTGGCTCCCAGTGGACGTTGGAGACGTCACAGCACCAAGCCCGACTTCACAGTCAGGAAGGCCAGTGTCCATCCCAGCTCTGCCACTGGGTCGAGTCTGCTTACTGTCCTGAGCCTCAGTTTCCCTCTGTGAAATGGAGACAAGGAGCCTGCTTGCAGTTGGGGGGCTGCATGCACTCATAGTGCAGTGAATGTTCGCAGCTTCCCTGCAGCCGCTTCCCAGAGGCAGCTTCCCCAGGGCAGCGTCCAGTTCAGCTAAAACAGCCGCCAGCCAACGAGGTCTCCACTTGCATTGTCCATTCTTCCCTCCTCCTTGCGAGGCGGGGCCCTGCTGCAGTGCTGCCGCCCGTCACCAGCACGTGCACACAGAGCCAGGAGGTGGTGACTGTTTTTCTTACCCAGAGCCCCCTGCTGTGCCTCATGGCCACTCAGGGACGCCAGCGTGGCTGCCCTCAGCAGCTGTGGGCAGGGCATCCTGCAGGTGGCAGAGCGGACAGGCCGAGGAACTGTCTGCCTCTTCGGATCGCTCTGGGGAGGGGAGGTGTATTGGCCAAGGTTGCCTTGAAAGGCCTTGGCAGTTGCCTAAGACAGAAAAAGTCAGCTTAAACTGCTTTAAACAAACAAAAGTATTGGCTCAGATACTGAAAAGGCCAAGGCACTAGCTTCTGGTGAAGCTGGAGCCATACCCAGGGTTCAGTTCAACACACTGGTCCTCCATCTCTCCACACCGATGTCCCTGTATCATCCTCAGTCTTGGCCTCTCCCCTCACGGTCCCCAGCAGCTCCACACCGACATCCTGCTCACTTAACCCTGTGGACAGAGAGCACTGCCTTCTCGAAGGGCTCAGCCCAAGCTGCTGTCCCAGGTGCCTGGGGACAAGGGATGGTCTCGGTCACATGCCACCCACCCCCCCCCCCAGCAGAAGCGGGAACCTGGGTCCAATACAGATCCAGCCCAAAGCGCCCTCTGGGCTGTGCTCCACCCCCAGGCATCAGCTTCACACACACACATCCTCATATGCCATCCTGTTTTTGGACATGCTGCTTTCTTATAAACTCCTACTCATCCTGCAGAACCCAGCCCAAATTTCACCTTCCCTGAGAAGACTTTCCTCACACTTACAGACACTTAGGGAGTTTGTTCCTCTGCTGGAGCCTTTATCAAACTTCTCACTGCATACCTGATTGGCAGGTCTGCCTCTTCCACGTGGGCTCTGAGAGGGGAGACAGAAGTCCCAGCAGCTCTCTGCGGGGAAATAGGCCCCTCCTGCCACCTTAGAGCCCACCTTCTGCAGCTGGACTGGGCTCCAACCCCCCAGGGAGGCCCCACTGTGGCACATGCTGCACAGGCACCACCCAATCCAGCCTCCTACTTGGGAGAGGCTCACCTGGCTGTGGAGTGGGGTCAGCTCACAGACACCCAGGCTGCCCTGGGCCCGAACATGGCGCTTTAACTCCCCATGTAACCACGGCTTGTCTCACGGGCCTCAGCGTGGTCAGTGGGCTCCACAGGGCAACCCCAGTGCCAGAGGCCTGGGCAGGCCCCCTAGGACCACAGGCTGCTGTGACACAACCCCGACCAGCATCCTGTGGGCCCCGCCCCGAGTGTCTGGGGAAGGAGCAAAGGGTCTGAGAAGGGGGAGCACCTCAACTCTTCCCCTCAGCCTTCCAGAATGTTTACCCCCCACCCCCACCCCAGGTCTGTCCCAAGAGCCTCCCATAGGCATCCTCCCTGCCCCTCGGTGACAGTCTCCTGAGTCTTGTCCTCACACCTGTCCTGTGGTGGGGATGTTAGGTTCCCTTTCCCCCTGGACACACGGCAGCCCCTGCCCTAAGCCCTCTCCTGAGCCCCTCACACTTAGCGCAGTTCCTCGCGTGGACTGGCCTCTGGAGGCGGCCTGTGAAAGGAACAGCTTGAGGCTGCGGCTTACGACTTATCCCAAAGGCTTCCTTCTACCACGCTCAGAGCTCGGCACACAGACGTGCAGCCCTCCCTGGTTTCAAGAATGCCTCTGCGGGATGCCAGCCCCCTGCCAGGTGCAGCATTCAGAGCTACCCGGGACAGGCCCTGCTCCCAGGCAGGACTAGAAGGTGGACCCACCCACCAGGACCGGAGCAGTACATGGGGGGTGGGGGGGAAGGAAGCAGAGCCAGTGCCCAGGAAGGCGCTTCAGGGAGGGTGGATCCCACTGAGGAGGATCCCTGACCTGGGCTTACAGGGGGGACACAGAATTAGCCCAGCGAGGTGCAGAGCGCAGGGAGGCATCTGAGGCCAAGACATGCGGCAGCGTGGAATTGGCCTGGGAGTTCCTTGGATCTGCAGGTCATTGCAATCGCATCCAGGAAAACTAGAAAATAAGGTTGCAGAATGCTTACGTCCAGGCCAGGGAACAGCCTTGAGTAGCGTGTTGGCCCAGCTGTTCAGCCACCTGCAGGGCAGCTGTTTGCTCCTGGTTGGCATTGTGCTGTGAGCACAGTTGCGTGCACTATTGAAAATGCTCTGTGATCTCGGCTCGGCTCCAGCCAGCAGACGTTCTTCCCTCTGAAGCAACCAGTTCTGAAGGTGCCAGCTTTTTGCATCCAACATCAACCCCATGTGAAGACTGAGGGCCCCCCGGGCACTTGTGGGCTTGTCCCTCAAAGTGCAGTGCTGCTGCCGTAACAGCCAGCTGACAGCTGCGTCACCATTTTGGGGACTTTCATCCTCCTGGCCACCCTATGAAATAGATACTGTTTTATCCCCATTTTACAGATGAGGAAACTGAGGCTTGGGGAGGTTAAAGTAATTGCTCAGTTTGAGCTGTTAAAGGCTGAGATTCTAATCCAGGTTTGTGTGATTCTAACACATTCTTTTCTTTGCATTCTGCCAAGTCATAGAGAGACCCTATTCTCTGAAAACATTTGAAAACTGAATTTTGGTGAATTTCATTCCCAAGTGACTTGGTGTGTTTTCTTTAATGGGTGTGTTGGGAGGAGGTGACTGCTCAACGCCCCCGCAGCTCACACGCTGACAGCTGTCTACAGGCCCTGGCGAGCAGGTCTTGTGTAAAGTCCCATCCTCACACTGAGCAGAGCTGGCACCTCCTCGAGGGCCAGCCAGGGGAACGTAGAAATGGGAGGTGGCCATGCCAGCCAGGACCAGAGGAACCAAGGCAGGCCACAGTCGACAGGACATCTGAGAAGGGAGGCTTTGTAGCCTTGGAAGGAATTCGTCTAAGGCAGCGGTTCTCAACCTGTGGGTCGCGACCCTTTTGGGGGTTGAACGACCCTTTCATAGGGGTCGCCTAAGGCCATCAGAAAACACATATATAATGACATATTGTTTTTGTGATTAATCACTATGCTTTAATTATGTTCAATTTGTAACAATGAAAATACATCCTGCATATCAGATGTTTACATGACGATTCATTACAGTAGCAACATTACAGTTATAAGGTAGCAACGAAAATGATTTTATGGTTGGGGGTCACCACAACATGAGGAACTGTATTAAGGTCGCGGCATTAGGAAGGATGAGAACCACTGGTCTAAGGGGAGCTGGAATGATATTCCAAACTTAATTATAGCTCCATTTCAAAGCTCTCCTTGGATCTCGACCTTTTCCTTCACAGCGGATCCCGGCTGAGCGCTTCACACCAGGGACTGCCCACCTGAAGCCGAACTTCTCCTTTGGGGCATCTCCGATTCCTCCTTTTCTCATTTCTGTTAGGAATACGAGCGCTTTGCATCTCCTCCAGCATTAGTATCTCCATGTTCTGTTCCTCACACATTGGCAGAATGCACAGTCATTCATTCAACAAAGATTGATCTGTTACCGCTGTGTATGCAGCCCGGAGCGCACTGGGAGCAATGGCGACCTGCACAGGTGTGCGACCTGCTGAGCCTGTGGCCCAGCAAACCCAGCCGTGTGTGCAGAGAGTTCCACCCCCACACGGGGTGGTGGGGGCAGCCCTCGCCAGCATGCAGGTGCTGCCCTGCACGCACGGGCTGGGTGAGAGTTCGGACTCTTGAAGGGTGACAGCGATGCTGGATACCGGATGACAAGTGCAGATGCCCCATGGGTCCCGCTGCGTGCGGGGCTCCCTGCAGTCCTCCCAGCAGGCCACGCCTCCTTAGAAAGCTCCTCTTTCTCTCTGCAGGCCTCCTGCCCTGAGTGGCAGCCCCGTCATCTCTGACATCTCATTGATCCGGCTTTCCCCCCACCCCGCCGGCCCCGGGGAGTCCCCCTTCAACGCCCCCCACCCGTACGTGAGCCCCCACATGGAGCATTACCTCCGCGCCATGCACAGCAGCCCCACGCTCCCCACGATCTCTGCAGCCAGGGGCCTCAGCCCCGCTGACGGTGAGTAACAGCCCTGTGGTGTCAGGTGGGTACTGGACTTACGGGGTCACTTCCTAAAGCATATAAATGTCTAATCACTCATGCACTTGAGACTAACATAATGCTGTATGTCACCTGTAGTTGAAAAAAAAAAAGTTTAAAAACAATAAGCAACCCGGTGAATCTTCTCAAAACCTGCCCACAAAACCTTCCCCTGCACCCTCAGTCAGTGCCAGAGAGGCCATGGCTGTGTGCACTGAGCCCGTGGGCAGAGGCCCCAGAACCACGGCCCACGCATCCCTTGTCCCCAACTGCACCTCCCCACCTCCCAGTGTGACCAAGAGTGAAGCTGAACTCCAGGCCCAAGTGTCCAGTGAGAGAACTCAGCCTGCCCGGGTCCAGGAGGCGCCCTGCGGCACCGCTTCCCCCCTCTTCCCCCCCAACCCCCCCGATTCACCAAAGAGAAACCGCACCAGGCAAAGGGTTGGAGCCCCAGGCCCTGAACACTGCTGCTCGGTCAGAACCCAGCCCTGCGCTCAGCGTGGTCCCGCCTGGCCTTGACCGAGCTGAGGTGTCTGGAGGGGGTGTGTGCTGCGCCTGCCTCCCCTCGTGGACAGCGGGTGGTGCCCCGCCTCTCCTGATGGCCCGTGCCAGGCGACTGGAGCACGACGGTGCAGGCCCTGATATCCACATGTGGTGTCGCCGGCTGTGTGGTGCCCCCAGGGGAGAAGGCCAGGTCTCATCCTGAACCCGAGAGCAGGCCTGGCTGGGGAGAGGGCCTCTGTGGATGTGGTTCCCTCAGGAATTTTGAGATGAGATCATCCGGGCTGGTCCACTCAGGCCTAAATCCAAGGACAGATGTCCTTACAAGACACACAGGTGAGAAGACACAGAGAAGGGAGTGATGTTGCACAGGCCAAGGAAGCCAGAAGCTGGAGCAGCCAGGAGCGATTCTGCCCGACAGTCTCGGAGGGAGGGCGCTGCAGCACCTGGTTGTGGGCTTCTGGCCTCCAGGCCGCGAGGGAGTAAAACTGGTGCTAGCAGTGCTTACACCAAGGCTGGCTCACTTGTCACAGCACCTGGGAGCTAGTGCACACTCACTGTGGGGGAGGGGTTAGAGGAGCGTGGGGTGTCTAGGGAGGGCCAGGAGCCGAGCATGCTCCTGGGGACCTATGGGCCAGGGATCGCCGTGTGGCCCGTGAAGAGCCAGTGGCTGGACAGGCTGCCCTCAAGGGAGACTCAAGTTGACCGAGCACTGACTTTAAGCTGGATTTTGATGTAAACATTGAGGTGACTCCTACCACCCCTGCTTACCCGATCCCACACCCATGAGAGCCCGATGGGCCAGCAGAGAGGCTGTGGCTACTTTGCATGACCCTGCCCCCTCTGGTGGGCCAGACACCCGGAGGCCTCACTGGCCCTGGCCCAGCCCCCAGGAGACTGGGGAGCCTGTCCGGCCACCAGGCAGCATCAGCCCAGCGCCTGCTGGCACGAGGCAGCATCTGCCAGACCACGTGTGCCCGAGGGTGAATGGGCACCTGGGGAAGACTTCAGGGAGGAGGGGGCAGGCGACGAGGGAGACAAGGGCGTTTTCTTCATGGACGACAGGCAGAGGCCTTGAAGCGCTGGGGCTGAAGGCCAGGCTCTCTCTAGAGGACGCAGAGGAGACAGGGAAGAGGAGGAGGAGGAGGAGCAGGAGGGGGAGGAGATGGAGGAGGGGGAAGAGGAGGAGATGGGGAGGGGGGAGGAGGAGATGGAGGAGGGGGAAGAGGAAGAGGAGATGAGGGATGGGGAGGGGAGGGGGAGGAGGGGATGGGGGAGGGAGAGGGGGAGGAGGAGGAGGAGGAGGAGGAAGAGAAGATGGGGGGCAAGGGGGAGGGGGAAGCCTCTTCTGCTGCCAGCTTCTCTCTCCAGCCACAGGAGGTCTCCCCTGGTATTTGCAGGACTGATGGCAGGGGCGTGGGCGCAGTGGTTGGGAACTTGAGCTCTAGATCCAGGCCCCTGCTGTGTGACCTTGGGCAGGACCCCTGGCCCTCTAAGAGCTAAGGGAGGTAAAGGCGACACTGCTTGCGGTGAAATCAGAGAGTGACTGACTCCCTCTCACTGCACCTGCACAGACCCGCGGGCGCTCCGCACAGCCTTGTGCTACAATCATTAGTAAGACCTGGAGTGGTGGGCATTATTGCCCCAGTTCTGCAGACCTGGTACAAGCTAGGATTCGCCCTGGGTATGTGTGGTTTCCAAACCCCCCATCCTTTCCCTGGCACCACAACCCTGAGGGCCAGGCCCCCTGAGAACTGATGTGTGCCCATCCTGTCTCTGCTAAGGCCTGGGCAGGGCTGCGCGAGGGCTGGAGGCAGACAGCCCGCTCTGCAGCCGCTGGACAGGGAGCTGGTGGCCTGTGGCAGGCGAGGGGCTCTATCTAGCCAAGCCCGGCAGCTCTTTGCTGCGCTCTCACCTGGAATGCGCAGCGGCACTGCCAGGCAGCCCACCGTCTGCTGCCCTGGCACTTTCGTTTGTATCTTTCCTATGAAGCCTCGGCTGTAGCATGGGCCCTGTGGCCCTGAGCTGTGGGCTTCTGCGGGGCTTGGAGGGGAAGGAGAGGGTGGGGCTATGGCTTTGGTGAAGTGGAGGATGCAGAGCTGAGGCCGGGCTGGCCGCCCGCCCTATGGCAGCAACATGCCCACCCACTTGGCCTGCTCGGTGCGGACATGGGGCCGGGGGAGGGGCACGCAGAGGACAAGGGATGGACTTGAGGACACTGAGGGGAACTCCTCAGGCCAGGCGGTAGGTCTCTTTTTTCTTCCTTTGCCAGATTCTGATGGCTTCTTTCTTTCTCCCTCCTCTCTGCCCACAGTGGTCCATGAGCACCTTAAGGAGAGGGGGCTGTTTGGCCTCCCCCCGGCAGGCACCAACCCCTCAGACTATTACCACCAGGTGGCCCTCATGGCGGGCCACCCCACATCATACGGGGACCTGCTCCTGCAGACGGGGGGCGCCACTGGCACCCCCCACCTCCACGACTACCTCAATCCAGTGGACGGTGAGTGCTGGGCCAGGTGGTGGCAGGGAGCAGGATGGGAGGGGGCTGACGGTGCCCCCAGGGGCTGAGGCGGGTGCTTGCTGCTCCTTTGCGGGTAAGGAGCCCTAAGGATGGGTCTGGATTTACCCCAACCCCTGCCAGGACTGTGTCCACAGGGGCCAGGCCTGAGCCACACACACATACTCAGTGAGTGTCTCGGGGATCGCAGACACTGCAGGGGACGGAACACACGCCTCTGCCTTCGGGGACAGGTGGGCAAAGCCGGAGGGGCGGCCGCGTGCAGTGCGGGCGCGACTTTAAATGAGGAAACCGAGACACCTTCACGGGGAAGGTGATATTTGAACAAAGAATTGAAAAAAGTGAGCCCGGCGGAAATATGCAGGAAGAGTGACCCAGCGGGCGGACAGCGGGTGCGGGGCCTGAGGCAGCGGGCCTGCTGAGCTCACGAGGCGGCCGGGAGGCCCGTGTGCCTGGCACCCCGTGAGCCGGGCAGCAGCGGGGTGCCGCGCTCTGGGGCTGCTTCTGCAGGCTGCTCGGGGCTTGGTGCGACGTTGGCTTTCGTGGGGAGTGGGAGGGGGCCCTCAGAGAGGGTTGGACAGAGGAGTAACGAGGTCCGACATATTCTAAAAGGACCCTCGCTCTGACTGCTGCTCTGAGGATACATGTAGGAGCTGCGGGGAAGCAGCAGTGGGTTAGTAGAGGGAAAGGCGGTCACGTATCGGACAGATTTAAGGTGGAGCTGGAAGTTCATTGCCAGGTCAGATGTGGAGCTAGGGAGGGAAAAGGACGGCCACACAGTTCCATCCGTGGGCTGGGGCAGAGCCGCGCCCGCACTCCTGAGGCCTGGCTGTGGCCCACCCCCTCCAGGAAGCCTGCAGACGCGCTCCCCACCCCCGCTGGCTTTCCTCTCTCTGCCCGCTCAGTGCGCACTCGCAGGAGCCATCAGGCGGTTCCTGAGCCCCTGAGCCAGGGGTGGGCAAACTTTTTGACTCGAGGGCCACAGTGGGTTCCTAAACTGGACCGGAGGGCCGGAACAAAAGCATGGATGGAGTGTTTGTGTGAACTAATACATGCTAACACTGCTGCTGGTGAAGGAGCGGAGGGGAGAGCAAGAGAACCCTCCGCTCTTTCGGCTCCGCGGGCCGGATACAACAGCCGAACGGGCCGGATCCGGCCCGCGGGCCGTAGTTTGCCCACGGCTGCGCCTGCTTGTCCCCAAAGGGTGTGCGGGCCGAGCACTGGAGCCCTCCCTCATTTATTGTCCACGTTACGCTCGATGCTCCCTGAGGGACGTGACGGGAAGTTGCTCCCTGGGTCTGCCCCCCACCCCAGCCCGCACCCCCTCCCCATGCCTCCCCCAGCACTGGGCACATGGTGTAGAGAGTGAAGCGCAGCCTGCTGGCCCCGTGCGTGCTGGCCACATGCCCCCTTCTCTCCTCCCACCTTCCCTGCGGGTGCTCCCATGGGAGCCGGAGGGTGACAGCAGGTGGTGAGGTTGTGCACCTGTGACCTGACGAAGCTAGAAACCAGACAACCGCATACAGGGCATAAAACTGGACCGTGTGTCCCATAAGCCATGTCCTACCGTCAGGTGACCCCAAACTGGTCCCACCTCCCAGGGCCTCAGTGTGGACGGACTGGGCCAGCTGGACAGTGGGCAGGCACAGAGAAGCTGGCCGCAGGGTCAGGTGGAGCAGGTGTCCCGAGGGCAGGAGAGGCGCGAGCACCTGCTGTGAGGAGAATTGCCTCTGTCCTGGGCCCTCCCGCACATTCTCCCACGTGACGCCCCAGCCACCTCCTGAGGCTGGAAGTATAACCCTGCTTAAAATGAGCCAACGGGTTCCCAGCCCAGGTGACTTGCCCAGGTGGCAAGTCAGGGTTCCAAGCCCCTATCTGTTTGTCACTGGCATCTTGGCTTTTCCTGGGCCCACCACCTCCACGCAGCCCGGCACATCTGACCAGCCGGTGAACCATGGCCTCAGGGAGGGCCCCCTGGACCAGCTGTGTTCCAGCTCAGCCCAGAGCAGCGGGGCCACACCAGGGCGCTTGTCAGGGTGGCGGTGAGCAGTGAGCTGAGGGCACACCTAGGCCAGCGCCTGCCTGTGGTGGGACCAGGAAGGTCTGGGCAGTGACACCGGCCCTGCATGCTATGTGAACTGGATAAGATCTTGTGTGTGAACCTGTCTCGGTGCCTGGCCTATAGTATGTGCTCAGTTAACGGTAGTTTAAATGTCTTGCCACCAGTATCTTTTTCCGTCTTTCAAGTGGGAAAGATGAGGCTGGGGGGAAGGCCACTGGAACCATGTCACAGTTTGAATTTCACCCCGAGGGTGACTAGGAGCCCCAGGGTGTGACTGCCGAGTGACCAAGGGGTAAGTGGTCAACGAGAGGCAGGCAATGAGCCTGAGCCGAGAGGCCGTTCTGGGAAGGCGGGCACACAGCACTGCCGCCACCGCTGCATCCAGACTCCCCCAGACAGCTCCCGCTCCTGCCTGCCGTGCCCTCCCTGCAGGCCGGCCTGGCTCCATCCTGCACGGTGTCCTTGGACCCGGGTCAGTTGGCACATCTCCTGGTACAATGCCCCAGTCCTACCCAGCCCAGCTGCCCGTCCTCCATGCCCGCCTCGGGGCCCGAGGAGCTCCGACTGCACTGGCTGGCACTTCTGTGTCTACACGCTGGGTCTGAGCTTAGCTGCCAGGGAGCAGGCCTCTGCGTCTGTGGGTGAGCTCACGCGTGAGTGGCAGTCACAAAGCACCTGGGATAGGAAGATGCAACTCATTCGGGAAGAAACAGCTGGAAAAGAGCTGTCAGCTTGCAGGGCACTGGGGCGGGGCTGGGCACAGGGCAGCTTTGTGTCCTGGGCACTCAGCATTGGGCCACACGTCGGGCGGGGCTGGGCATCAGACCTGGAAGGCAGGGAGTGTGAGGAGGTGGCTCACAGTGGCACAGGACACCCAGCTCGGGTCGGCTGCCGCTGACTAACTCATCACACCAACTGCCGTCGCCCTGCCCCTCGGTCCTGAGAACGCCCGGGCTCAGGGCTCAGGCGCAGAGGGAGGCATCGCCATCCAGCTCCGGCCTGGGAGGCATCTCAGCTTCTCAGGCCGAGTGAGGCGCCATTCTAGATGCGAGGGACACAGTGAGGCCCTGCCGGTCGCATCCTCCCGCATGGCGCTGCTCCGTGTAAGCTCCTGGCAGGACAAAGGCCACCCCCCCTCCTCAGCCTCCTCTCTCAGCACCTCCTTCACAGCCCAAGAGGAGGCAGAACAGTGGGGCAGAGAGAACTTTCCGGGGCTTTGACTGTCAAGCCAGGGTGTGGGACGGGGTCTGTAGGCTGAGGCTGCCTGGGAGGGTGTGGGATGGCTTCTGGGGCCCGCATCCAGCAGAACAGGCCCCGTCCACTCATTGGCAAACCAACGGCAAAATTTCACCTCGGACAATGGCCATCTGCACACTTCTTTATTTAATACTTTTAATAGACTCGCCTTTGGGGGTTGAAGAAATGGATGCTAAAATGGAACTTAGCATTTTTTTAAAATGGGAAACCTGATCATATTTGAGGAAGGCGTCCCTGTCTCTGTCTCCATCGAGCCTAAAATAATCTCATGTATACAGGCAGGCACCCTCCGTAGGGGAAAGCATGGCGTGGGGAGGGGAGGCAGAAGGGGGAACGCCCTGGTGGGGCGCCTGCTGAGAGCCCAGACTGCAGGCCCCCCAGGGAGGCCAGGCTGGGGCAGGAAAGCGCATCTCCCTGCAGCCCGGCCCCTCTGCTGGGAGCTCTGGCCTCCTGGGGCCGGTGGAGCTCGCTGCCTCTGGTTCCTAAAGGATCTGACTTGTCGCCGGAGAGCACGGAGCGGGGCGGGGGCGTTGGAAGGCAACAGATAACCAGTCAGGGACCCACAGGTACCCTCTGCCGAGGGCTCTCTGGAGAGCGGGATTCTCTCGCCGTCATCAGCGCCCTAAAGTGGAATTTCCTCGTGTTGTCGGTTGAATATCGGTGATTTACCAGCGGCTCAGCTGCTGCCGCACTCCCTCCACTCCCACCGCATTGGGAAGATGGAAGTGTTTCCGATTGAAATGTTGTCTGTTTACAGCCCATACCTCCTCCAGGCTGTATATTTTATTGTCATATTGACACTAATTTGACTCGGATGTCACCTCCGTTCTGACGCCCGTGCTTTATGCTGCCTGTGGGTCCAGGGGGGTTTCAGAAACCAATTACATTGATCACACCGCAGCGAGGCGGGCGGAGCTGACGGAGGGACCATGGCGGCCCCGAGGCAGGCAGTTCTGGCCAGCCGCCGCCGAGGAGAGGCCTGGCCGGGGCCCGGGGCAGGCTGCCGTGCTCAGGCACAGCTAGTGAGGCATGTGCGCCAACAGCCCTGTGAGACAAGCCTTCTGAAGTCACTGTACAGGTGAGGAAGCTGAGCTGGATCCCCACATCACAGAAGCAGGACCGGGGGCTGGTCAGGCTCTGAAGCCCAGACTCCCTCTTCACCCCATCAGGGCAGTGAGGGGCTGGGGCAGCTCAGTGGGCAGGGCCAGGTCCTTGGCCGGATATCCTTAGAGCCTCTCCTCGGTGAGTCCAGAACAGGTCTGGGTGAGAGTGGGCCGTGCAGAAGGACCCCCCACCACCGAGGACTCAGGGCCCAGGAGCTCGCCACAGGGCGCGGCCCGCTGTCCCCAGGGAGGGTGTGTCCCAGCCCGGTGCTGACAACAGTAGCATCTGGAGCAAAAATGGCTCCTGGGTCCTTGGATCCCTGCATCCCTCTGGCCGCCCTCAGCCCAAGTTCCTGGGACCAGAGGCGGTCCACCCAGAGCTATGGATATGCTGGTCAGTAGCCCACAGCCACCCGGAGGTAGGTGCTATTGGCCTGTTTTACAGGTGGGGGGCCAGCTCAGAGAGCTTCAGTGACTCACCCAAAGCCACCCAGTTCAGAGCTACCAGGCCAGATGGGAACCTGGGTCGCCTGGGCCCAGGGCTGTTCCCACATCTCCTGCCCTTCCCCGCCTTCCCAGGTAATGCAGCCACCCCCTGAGCACTCGGGACCACCTGGGCCAACCCAGCACAGGTGGCACCTAACGAACCCTGCTGGCAGGTAGCCAGCATTCCCATCTCGCACCTGGAAGCTGAGCTCCAGGAGCACAGGCCGGGGGTCCTCCTTGCTTGCAGACCCCGCGGCCTCCAGCCGCTGCCTGGCATACTGTCAACACTGCGCAAGGGTCTGCTGGGTGAGGAACAAACACATGAATGAGCAGAAGAAAGAACTAGTGGTGAGACAGGGTCTAGACGTGAGCAGCGGCTGGAATGGGCAGCGTCAGTCCCGCCTAGGTTAGGGCAGGCTGTGGCTGGTCGCCCGGAGGCCGTCGACGTCAGGACGGGCGCATCCACAGATGAGCGGATGCAGCGGCTCCACCAATTCTGGTCATAAATCACAGGGGAAGCCACGGGAAGTGAGTGCCAGGCTTTTCTTTCTGTTTAGTAATTTATCAAGGGAAGAGGCGCATTAATAAACACATTTCCCTCGAGGGGTAGGAATAACGGAGATGAATATCACTGTCAGATTTGGCCTGTTTCCTCTTGTTAAGGGTGCAAAGAGAGGGTGGAAATCCAAATATTAGCAAAACATTTTTGTAAAATTGCATCACAAAGATGTGTGTATTTCTGCTTTACATGATATGCTGTCTCCCCACACACATCTCCCCCTTTGCCAGCTGCTCCTAACGCTTTTGTTCTGACTCTGAGTTCCCTTTAAAGTGAGGGCTGGTGCGGTGTGACTCGGTGAATAAGAACGAAGAGGCTAGAGGATGCCCGACCGGGCAGGTGAGCGAGTGTGTAGTGACGCTGTGCTGAGGTGTGGCCCCGTCATCCTTTCTAGATTCGCTGTCCTTTGCCCCAGGCATCACTCTGGGCTCACCCTGCCCACCAGTCCTCCTGGCCCCTGACGAAGCTGAATCAACTCACAGTCCCCCTGTGGACGCTCTGCTGGATTTTAGGCACGATCCTTCCTACGCTCCCTGTGTTCTCACGACAGCCCTGCAAGCCAAGCACACTGCCCCCTGTGCAGACGGGCAAAGAGGGGCTTGTGGAGGCTGAGTAGCATGCGCCAGGGCAGCCACGAAGCATCAGGTTTGTGTGGCCGGCTGGCACAGGCTATGGGCCCCCACACGGTGTGTGTGTCCACCCCACCTCGCCAGGAGCACCCTCCCAGGATACCTCACCTCCCCACCCTGAGCAGACGCTGTGAGGTGGGGGGTTTTGGTGGCCATCTACCTGCCTTCCCGTCTGTTTCTCTGCCAAGGCTGCCGGGGACAAATGTTTTGCCATTTGTACCATGAGGCTGATAATAGCGCCTTCCGTATAGGGTGCTTATGAAGATGAAGCTACTTAACACTTACAAGTGTGTGTAGGGCGTGCTCCTATCCCTCTCAGGCATCCCCTGGGGGTCCTGGAGCGCATCTCCCGGGAGTCAGGCAAGACTGCTGGTCACGCATAACTGCAGGGCGGGCGGAGGACCTGCCCCTGCTGGGGCTCCCTGCCCCGGGGCTCTCCGGCCCTGGCTCCAGACAGCTCCTCCGCAGCCCCACCCCAGGCGAGGCCCTGTGTCTCCTCTGGACAACACAGCGGCCTAGAAATGGTCTGACATCACTGGACACATCTCCACACACCAGGGTTTCCACCCTGTTCAGACTCTCCGGAGCCCCGGTGTCCTCCGTGTAAAGGGGTCCCCTAGTCCAGGGCTGTGGTGAGGAGATGAGGGAGGCGTGAGAAGTGCTGGCACTCAGCAGGCGCATGTCAATTCTGTGGCCGCTGTGCCCTGCATTTTGGATACCTGTGTGGAACAGCCTCTCCCTGTGCCCTGCTGGCCCCTGCCCGCCCGTTCTCCAGTCAGTGGCCCCCGAGTTGGAGGGGTGGCCTGTAAACAACCCCAGTGGCTGCTTGAACATACCCTGTGCTCCCCACAGCCTGGCCCTGCCCCCCTATGCTGTGCTCCCCACAGCCTGCCCCCCCCCATGCTGTGCTCCCCACGGCCTGGCCCTGCTCGTGGTGCCTGCTCAGACAGGCTCAGACCGCATAGGACCTCTCCCCCAGGGACATACCAGGCTACCCTGGCCACAGAGTCACCCGATGGAATTTTCTACAACAATGAAAAAGCCTGTGACTCCTGCACACAGCAGTGCAGAGCAATCTCACAAACTAGCGCTGGATGAAGAAGCTGCATCAAATAGTATTTATAATCTCATCTACATGAATAGCAAATACTCAAAAATAGGAAGACTGAGCTGCCTTTTAGAGGTCAGGCCAGCTTGGGTGGGTCTGGACAGACAGAGGGGCTTCTGGGCACTGGCCAGGCCCTTTGTTTTGTTTTTAATCCTCACCAGAGGACATGCTTAGAGAGAGAGAGGGAGAGACACATTGATGTGAAGGAGAAACATCGATACGTTGCCTTCCATACATGCCCCAACTGGGGATTGAACCTGCAACCCAGGTATGTGCCCCGACTGAGAATCGAACCAGCAACCATTTGGTGCTGGCCTCATGGGTGGTTCACGTACCCTGTGCACTTGGCTGTCCTGCGTCAGGCACTGTGGGTCCAGCTGGTCCCTGCATCCCGAACAGGAAGGGCGCTGACGTTATTCAGTGCTCGGATTCACTCGAGCATCTGACCTGTGCTTCTTAAATCCTCACCACACCTCGTGTGGATCAGTCCATTTTATAGATGAGCAAACTGAGGCTGAAAGTGGCTAAGCCCTGGCCCAAGAGGACACCACTGGAGAATGGCAGAGCTGTCGTTCACCTGCAGTCCACCTGCCCCCTCACCTCCCCCCCCAAACACGTTTTGCTGATGTGCCTTGGGTTGGCTGTCCCACAGTGTCGCGTTTCTCCAGCCCACGGGTGACGCCCCGCCTGAGCCGCAAGCGGGCGCTGTCCATCTCCCCGCTGTCCGATGCCAGCCTGGACCTGCAGCGGATGATCCGGACCTCCCCCAACTCGCTGGTGGCCTACATCAACAACTCGCGCAGCAGCTCCGCCGCCAGCGGCTCCTATGGGCACCTGTCGGCGGGCACCCTCAGGTGAGCCCAGCCGGCAAGCGGGGCTGAGAGTTGGGAGCTGGACTGGGGACCAAGTAGGGAGGGTCAGCACTTTCACCAGAGAAGAAAGACAGGACTTCATGCCCCAAACACAATTTCTGGCGGGCCTGTCCTGAAAGATTCGATCCCAGTGAATCGAAGTCAAAGGTGATGTTCCTAGTATTTAAGGCGGCCAGGCCCCGGACCCGCTTGGGGGGACACAAGGGTGAGCGACACTGACCGGGGCCATGTGAGTGAGTCTCTGGCTGGCAGCAGGCTCCCACGTGGCCACCGCATGGCACACCCCAACCTCGTCAGCGCCACTAGCCCAGCCCCTCCGTTTGAGGACTTGGCTGACACCATGTGCTCCCCTTGCGCATCCCGAGAGGCCAGAGGTGTTGGGACTGCTGGGAGCGCTCGGCCCAGGACCCAGAGGTAGAAGTGGTAACAGACATCCGCTGTCTTTGCTGCACAGTAGATTCTGTCTAAACTCGGAGGCTTAAACAGCAGGCATTTGTCATCTCTGAGGGTCAGGGTGTGAGCTGGCTTAGCTTCGGTCCCGCGAGGCTGCCAGCCGTGGCTGCGGTCACCTGAGGATGATGGGGCCCGGGGGCCCGTTTCCAGGAGGCCCACACCTCTCAGGACACGGCCGCCGATCCCTGCCCTCCGTCGGGGTGGGATCTGAGGGAGCAGGGGGAGCCACGGCTCCTTTACGCTCAGCCTCGGGCCATCTTCTTCCCTCAGTGAGCTCTTCAGGAAGGAGGCTAGTGCGAGTGGCCGTGTAGACCCAAGTGCAGTAGGCGGGGAAGAAGAAGGGGCTGTGCCCCGGAGGGCTCAGGGCTCACTTCCTGGACGAGGGCTTTAGAATGGCTTCGGAGGTCAAGTGGGGCTCATAGAGAGCAGGGGTGCCCCTTGCGCCAGAGCCGTGAAGGGCCAGGGTGGGGTGGGAAGGAATCTGGGGGCCAACCTGCCAGGGTGAAGGCTGCCCCTGGGGCCGGGTCTGGAGGCTAAGCATGAAAGGCGAGGCCTGGGACAGCACAGTGGAGAGCCACTGCTGGTTCGGAGTGAGGCAGGGCCGTGGTGATGGTGAGGTGAGCACATGCCCATCCGATCCCTGGGTAAGGCCGTCTCTGCCCAGGAAGTATTGGCCTAGCGGAGCCCTGGTCCCCCTCCCTCTCCTCCGCTCCACCACCTCGTCTGCTCTTCTCTGCAGCCCAGCCTTCACCTTCCCCCATCCCATCAACCCCGTGGCCTACCAGCAGATCCTGAGCCAACAGAGGGGCCTGGGCTCGGCCTTCGGACACACACCGCCCCTGATCCAGCCCTCCCCCACCTTCCTGGCCCAGCAGCCCATGGCCCTCACCTCCATCAGCACCACGCCCACCCAGCTCAGCGGCAGCAGCAACTGTCTGAACGACGCCAGCCAGGTAGGCGGGTGCAGGGCGCAGAGCGGGCCAACTGATACTCCGACTCCACGAGGGCTGGCAGTCCCATCTCACACTGGCCACGTGCGGGAGGACTCGGGGTGCAGGTGTGGCTCGGGGTGCCTTCTGTGGAGAGGCCACAGGATTGAAAGGCCTGGGCTGGATGAGGCTGGGTGGGAGGCCTGGGAGGGGTCCTGACACCGCTCCCACTCCTGTGGCAGCGCCCAGCCTCAGTTCTGATGTCCCTGTGCAGTAGACAGGTAAGTAGATGGGGAAACCTGAATTCGCAGTCAGCACAGTGTGGGTGCTCCGAGCCCAGAATATGAAATGGATTAATGAATAGTAACACCGTGCAGTTTAGTTTTGGAGCATGGATTCACCAAAGACCATCTTTTTAAGAAATTCTTTAATTTTATGTTTTAATTGCAGTTTACACCCAATATTATTTTGTATTAATTTCGTGTGTAGAGCTTATTGGTTAGGTAATCATATACTTTATAAAGTGACCCCCGATACTTCCAGCACCCACAATGTCACCGACTATGTTCCCTGTGCCGTGCGGTACATCCCCGTGAACCCCTGCTGCTCAGTCCCTTCCCCTTTTCACCCCGTCCTCCGAGCCCCTTCCCAGAGAGGCCGCTGTTCCGCTGCCGCGGACGTGGCGCGAGCTGCTGGCAGGCCCTCCGGGCTCTCTCCTGGCCGTGCCCCTGCCTGGAAGGACTCAGTTTCTCCCACTCCAAACACAAGGGTTGGCCTGGATAGGCTGTGTGCGGAGGGTCCGGAGGTTTGGGGTGTCCTCCCTGCCCCCAGTGACAGGCTCTCCTCTGCACCCCTTCAGAGCAAGCAGAGCAGCGAGTCGGCTGTGAGCAGCACCGTGAACCCCATCATCATCCATAAGCGCAGCAAGGTCAAGACGGAGGCCGAGGGCCTGCGACCAGCCTCCCCGGTGACCCTGACGCAGGTAACCTGCCCGCCACCCTCACGTCTCCAGGCTGGGCCAGGCCTCGTCCGCGAGGTCAGCAGCCTTGGGGCTGAGCCCCTGCTGGTGAAGGATGAGCAGGTGGCTGCCTGCAGGAACCAATGAGCAAATGACTGAACCAGGGTGGGCAGGCGGCGGTCCTGAGCTCAGGGAGGACCAGAGCTGTGTCCCCAGCACCCTGCACCTTACAGGCTCCTCAGACACACCCTGAATTGCCGGGCGGGAGTGGCTGGGTTGGTTGAGCGTCATCCCATGCACCGAAAGGTTGCTGGTTCGATTCCCCGTCAGGGTACATACCTGGATTTCAGGTTCAATCCCTGGTTGGGGCTAGTATGGGAGGCAACCAGCATTTCTCTCTTCTTCTCTCTCCTTTCCTCTCTCTAACATGTCATCAGAATGAGTGAATGGATGATATGGGGCTGCAGCTGTCTCGCCCCACCACTCCCCTCACCCCCATGCAGCACAAGCCCGAGGTGCTCATGTTCCCTGATGGCTCAGGCTCCTGTCCAGCGGCTCCCTCCCCCTGGAGCCCTGCCCCCTTCACTGCCACTTCAGCCTTTTCTGACCCTCCTGCAGAACTAGGAGCCCAGCCCAGCCCGGGCCACTCTGCTGCCTTCTGCACTGCACCGGGCGCTGGGGGAGGGGCCCTCTGGGGAAGGGTCTGGTTGGGTTCCAGGCCATCAGGGTCTACACTGGGCCTGGTGCACGGTAACTATGAAATCTATTTCCAAGGACTCCATGCACATGTGAGGGAACGAGTGTGTGGTGACGGGGAAGGACAAGGAAGGTGAGGGACGGAGCGACCCACAGCCGGGGTGGTCCTGTGGGGCTAAGACCCTGTGCAGGTCCCTTGGGAGACCCTGCCTCCTGGTCCAACACCCGAGAGGACAGGCAGACAGTCCAACTCTTGCAGCAGAGGCTGTGGGGGAAGAGCTCAGGGTGAGTGCTGGCCGCGCAGACGAGCCTCCCACCCGTCTCTCACGGTGGCCTGGCCTCCATCCGTTACTACCCTGTCACAGCGCTGACACCAGCGGTGCTCAGGCCTCCTGTCCCTGCCTCCCTGCCTCTGTCACACCATCCTTTATCAGACTGCGAGCCATTGGGCATGCTCCGGGCACTTAATTTTTATGAAATATTGGGTTCTGTTACTGTCAGGCAGACAGAGGAGCTGGTGACAAATGCTTCTCCCCTCGCTGACGCCAAAGCCTCTTAGTGTGATGCGTGGCTTCCACGGGGCGGCCCTCATCGGGCGGTGGGAATAGATGAGGGCGGCGCACGTCCTGGGGAGAGCAGCACGGGGAGCAACGAGGACGGGTAGAGGCCACACTGAGCACAGGGAGCTCCCCCTCCCCCGTCCCGTCCAGCTCCGGGCCCCGTAAGCCCTCTTGCCTGCCCAGCTGGGCTCCTCATTTGTGAAGGAGGAGAGCCATTTATCATGAGGAGGTTGTCACCGTGTCACTCTGTCCTAATTCAGTGACCCGGCTCCTGCAAGGTGGGTGGGCATGCTCTCCCTTGGCACAAAATGCAGCCCAGCCTCCCTCCCTGCCTCAGCCTCAAACCTGTGGGCTGGGAAGACACCCAGCGGCCCTGGGGGCCGGGTGCACCGCCGCCCCGCCATCCCCGTCCCCACACGCCTGTCCCCGCAGCCTCTTCTCTGAATCAGCAGAGCATGCAGTCCGGGCCCAGGTCCCCTGTGAGGGTGAGGGCGGAGCGGGCACGCGGTCCCGCTTTCTAAGGAGTCAGGCATGTGCCCCGGAGCTGCCGGGGGACTTCTTGCACTACACCTCGTTTTCCTCTTCAGAGCGCGTGCATTGGACACGTGCGTTGATTGGAAGGTGCGTTCACAAACAACCGAGGGCGGCCAGGAGGGCGGGTCCCTGGCCGCAGGGGCCGGGGTGCCGATGTCACCCCTCACCACAGAGCAGTGTGAGGAGTGAGGCTGAGTGTCTGGAGTCTGGGGGGGCTCTTGACTGTGGGGAGAGGTCTCCCCGTCAGCCTGAGCTATCATGTTTGCCCCAGAGGCTGTTTTGAAAGACAGAACATCTGTGCCAGTGGTAGGTAGTCTGAATGGGAAGCAGGTCATCCTAAGGTCGGCTCTGCCTGGCGCTGCTGGGAGCGGGCCGGCAGGCAGCCAGTGGGACATCGGGAGGCAGCGGAGCCGGGAGCCCTTGACGTCCTCGGCAGCGCCTCCTGGGCCTTCCTCCCGCCCTGGGCTCGGGTGCCTCCCTTCCACCAGCTCCCGTTCCCTCCCAGGCGGTGGCGCCGATTTATGCTCAGTCTGTTGCTGGTTTTGGAGTCAAACGTGTTGTCCCCTTTGAATTGAAGCACCTGTGACTGGGTGGAGGCCTGTCACCTTGAAATGGGCACGTGTGGGCTCCATGCCGGGGGGAGGGGGGGCTGGAGTCCAAGTCCAGGCCTCCACACTCGCTGTGTGTCTGGGAGGGCGAGGAGCCCTCAGAGCCTCCTTTCTGGCTGCAGCGCGGGAAGAAAGCCCCCATTGCAGGCTGTTCCACGGATCCGCTGCCGGGAGGACGTGCGAACACGTTCACCCAGCCGCGCGCTGTCCTGGGTTCAAATCCAGGTGTGCTGGGTGCCTGGGAGGAGAGGACAGTAAGAAAGTGAGAGGTCTGGAGGGCCAGGCCAGATGCCTGTTGGGTTTCTCTTGCCTCCTTGGAGAGCGGACCCTGTGACTAAAATGCCCCACCCCAGGGCCTGTGAGCCCACCAGGCTCTTCGCAGGGGAAACCAAGCTAAACAGCAAAGCCACTGCCTGCTCGCTCCAGCTCTCCTCGCCATGCCAGTTGACTCAGGATGTGGCGAGATGCCTTGGTGATGACAAGTTGGCATCGAGAGGAGGGAGGGGCCCAGGACGGCTGTGTGATGGGAGAATGATGGGTAGGAGCCCGCTGAGGAGGGGCTGGGAAAGCCGGTGCATGTGCGTGTGTGCGTGCCTGTGTGTGCACCTGCACAGCCCGGGGCCTGGGCACAGGCTGTGCAGAGCTGACGGCAGCCTCTGGGCAGGGCTGCTGCTGGCCAAGGCTCAGGGGTGTGCTCTGCTCCTCCCCAGGAGCAGCTGGCCGACCTCAAGGAAGACCTGGACAGGGACGACTGCAAGCAGGAGGCGGAGGTGGTCATCTACGAGACCAGCTGCCACTGGGAGGACTGCACCAAGGAGTATGACACGCAGGAGCAGCTGGTGCATGTAAGCCTCCCGGCCCCGTCACCCGGCGGGGCACGGCCTGGGCCCAGGGAGCCCGCAGCCTGCCAGGCCGCAGACAGAGGAGGGGCTGGAGGAGGAGGCTCCCAGGGGTGCCGTGTCCTCGAAGGTGGGCAGCATGATTCCTTATCCAGGCCTGTGTCTAAGAGGGGGCTTACAGATACATATGCAGTACAAGAGATTAGAAGAAAAACAAGGAAACAGGACAATTCAGGGGAAATGCGCAATAAAAGGGAGTCAGGAGTCCAGTTAGTATGCAAAGCCAAGTCCTCTGAGCTGTGGCTCATAGGTAAACCCTTTTCCTGGGGGTCCTGGCAACCAATGCAGAGAGGGCAGTGAGGCCAGCTAAGCCGGCCGGCATGGCAGAGTAAGCGCAATCCTGGCCCCGAAACCTGAAGGAAGTTCCTCCCGTAGAGGACGGAGTTGGCCATTTCCGCTTGGAGGCAGTGCTTAGCGACCCGCACAGGTGCAGGTGGCTGTCTCCGCCCGATCAGGGGGCTGCGTGAACATTCCCGGTACTGGCAGATCAGGAGGCCAGAGAAGACCACGCAGTGGGTGCCCGTCAGGGTGCGCCCTCGCCTTGGTCCTCACCGTAAGCTCTTCGATGGCGGCACCTGCTGTGGCAGCTGCGGGGCAGTTTGTGCAGTGGGAGGAGCAGGCGTGGGGCTCAGCGTGGAGGCACAGGCTTCAAACCACAGGCAGCGAAGTCTAATCAGGTGAGAACAGGCCACTCAACCTCCGTGAGCCGCAGAGTTCCTCCTGTGTGGGGTGAGTCCTACTGCACAGGGGTGTGGAGATGGAATATGACCCCAGAATAACCAGTTGGCAGAGAGCGCAGCCCATGCCTGGTCGCCCCTCCGCCTCCGTCTCCCTGTCCTCACACCAGCCCCAAGCGCCTCTCTTCTCCCCCCGGAAGAGAACTTAAATTCAAGAATAAGCCCCCACACCCCGTCCCAGCACACGCTCCTGGTGAAAGAGTGTCTGCAAAGATGAGCCCCACACTAAACTAGCAGTGCGACTGTGGGGTGGGGGGGGGCGCACACGCACATGCACACGCATGCCCGCACTGCACACGCACACGCACATGCACACGCGTGCCCGCACTGCTTGCACCCAGGAGCCACCCCGAGCGAGCGTCCTCCCCAGCGCTGGGAGCTCAGGTTGAGAGCACCGCCCACCCCGCCGCTTCCTCCATCTGTGCCACCGTTGCTCTCCAGTGCTGCGGGCTTCTCTTGTGTTTGGGTTTTTCCTCCCACATTCCCATCCAGGAGACACATGTCCTAGCGGACCATCCCCCAGCTCGCGTGGAACCTGTGAGGCAGGGTCTTGTCTATACTCTTTTCGTCAAGGAGTCCGAGGTGGAGAAGGGACGTGGGAGCTGAGTTATGGGACAGATCAGATTCGATTAGAGGAAGAAGGGGCGACGTCTGGGCCAGGCAGGGGCCAGGCAGAGTGAGACCAGGATGACAAGATGCGCTCAGTAATGAGTGAGTTGGCCCCAAGGAGCAGGGAGGGATTCCTCAAAGGAAGGCAGAGGGGTCCGGACGGGAAGGGGGGCTCCCGCTGCAGGCTCCCGCCTGTGCCTGGGCTGTCCCTGCGGCTGCAGGTGCGCACCTCGCCTCCGCCTGCCCCCAAAGAGCCAGCCCCACCAGCTCTGCCTGCTTCCCGGGAAGATGGATGGCGCCGGCGCACGGGCGGGCTGGAGCCCTCAGTCCATTATGAACAATTTGTCGCTAAGTAAACCAATAAGAAAAACTGCAAGGCATTGTCAGGGCGCACTCCCATCATTTGAAAGCCTTTAAAAATGGAAAGTGAGGCTAATAGAGAAGGTTCCCCTGGAAGCTCAAGGTGCTGTAGGTTTTACTTGCAGCCACGCTGGCGTTTGCGTGCCCGCCAGTGGGGCCTGCACTCAGGCACGCGGCCTCGGTGTCCAGCTCGGACAGCCTTGCGGGGTTCAAAGGTCCACAGCAGCATCGCCAGGAGAAGACCCTGCAGGCCACGAACACACCCGCGTCACTTTATGTTATGTAGGAGCAAACGCGTAAGAGACAGTGAAAGGAAACAGGTGACATTCATTTCAGTGATATGTTTTATTTAACCCAGTAAATCTAAGAGATTATCATTTCAACATGTAATCAGTATAAAACAAAATATTGGAACATTTGACATCCCTTATGTTTTCACTGTGTTTGAAACAGGTGTGTTACACTTACAGCCCCTCCCAGTTGGGAGCAGCCACATTTCAGGGGCTCAGAGCACAAGTGGGGAGTGACTGGCGCACTGGGCAGTGTGGGTCTAGAGGCGGAGGGGGGGATGAAAGCAAGCGGGAGCTGAGAACGAGAGAAGAGAGGGGCTGGAGAGGAGGGACTGCAGGACCTGATGTTCCACACCCCCCTCCCCGGGGAGGTAGGCCCAGCCTGACTGGCATACAGCAGGACAGGACTGGAGCCGAGGGCGAGGAAGGGGAGAGTGGGACCTGCGCTCCCTGCCTTTAGAGAGAAGCCCCAGTGGGAGGGAGCAAGGAGCAGTGTCCCCTGCACCACTGTGCGAGCCGCCACCACCACCTCTTTCCACCCCAGGTAGATACACAACCCAAAATGGGGACATGAAAGTCCCGGGGGCACCACCCACATGTCCGCCAGGCCCAGCTCAGGGGCAGTGAGTGACATGCCTGCTTCAGGGAGGACTGAGCTAAGGGGCAGTGACTGATATGCCTGCTTCAGGGAGGACTGAGCTAAGGGGTAGTGAGTGACACACCCCCTTCAGGGAGGACTGAGCTCAGGGGCAGTGAGTGACACGCCTGCTTCAGGGAGGACTGAGCTCAGGGGCAGTGAGTGGCACACCCCCTTCAGGGAGGACTGAGCTCAGGGGCAGTGAGTGACACGCCTGCTTCAGGGAGGACTGAGCTCAGGGGCAGTGAGTGGCACACCCCCTTCAGGGAGGACTGAGCTAAGGGGCAGTGAGTGACACGCCTGCTTCAGGGAGGACTGAGCTCAGGGGCAGTGAGTGGCACACCCCCTTCAGGGAGGACTGAGCTAAGGGGCAGTGAGTGACACGCCTGCTTCAGGGAGGACTGAGCTAAGGGGCAGTGAGTGGCACACCCCCTTCAGGGAGGACTGAGCTAAGGGGCAGTGAGTGACACGCCTGCTTCAGGGAGGACTGAGCTCAGGGCCAGTGAGTGACACACCCCCTTCAGGGAGGACTGAGCTCAGGGGCAGTGAGTGACACGCCTGCTTCAGGGAGGACTGAGCTCAGGGCCAGTGAGTGACACACCCCCTTCAGGGAGGACTGAGCTCAGGGGCAGTGACTGATATGCCTGCTTCAGGGAGGACTGAGCTCAGGGCCAGTGAGTGACACACCCCCTTCAGGGAGGACTGAGCTCAGGACTAGATAATCAAAGAAGGTGACTGTAACCCCAGTGTCTGCCCAGGCCCGCGTGCTGTTACCTGAGACCCAAAGCCTCCAGGCCCAAGGCTCCACATACAGGAGAAGCCACTCTGGGCGCCATATAGATGGTGAGGCCAGGGCAGATGACAGGTATGGGCGCAGGGTCAGGGAGGCAGGAAAGTTAGCCTTGTTCCTGCCCAGACCAGTGCTGGCCAAGACAGTCTGAGGACCACCTGCCCAGGTGGCTGCCTGCCTCGCTCTGCCCATTCGCCCCAGTGGGCCGCAAGCTGATGAGCAGGGTCCCAGTGCCGTGCTGACCGTGCCCAGTCACATGGTCGCTGGCAGCTCTGCTCCCTTCTCGGGCTGTGCTGTGCCAGGGGCAGTGCCACACGGTCCCAGGGTCCTCCGTGGGGGTCAGTCCCTGCAGCCACTAACAAGCTGGGCCTCTGTGCAAAGGGACAAAGCCGCCCTCTTACGGGTTATCAGGACGCAGATGGAGACCAGGACGCAATGACGTTTCCATTATAACAGAAACTTAATGTAAACACCTGGAACAACAGGGGAAAGCTCGGAGAGGCTTCTCAGGCACCCTGTCTGCCTCGCTGCAGTTAATTAGTGCCTACTGTGTGCAGCGCAGCCAGGAGCATCGTCGTGGCCACCAGTCCTCCATGGACTGGAGCCCGGAGCCCCGTCTGCGGTGAGCAGGGCACCTTTGACCATCTGGGATGGTCGCTTTGATGACTAATTGGGAAATGCAGCCGAGACATTAGCACACAGTATGTCTTCACTTGGTGGCCACTAACCACAGGAGGAGGTGCGGCCGGAGGGCGACCCGACAGAGTGGGCGGTGGTCTGTGGGGGTGGCCTGCGCTCAGCAGGGGTCCGAGGCGCTGGCCGGGCTCACCCCCTTCGGGGCTTGTTCCGGCAGCACATCAACAACGAGCACATCCACGGGGAGAAGAAGGAGTTCGTGTGCCGCTGGCAGGCCTGCACGCGGGAGCAGAAGCCCTTCAAGGCGCAGTACATGCTGGTGGTGCACATGCGCCGGCACACGGGCGAGAAGCCGCACAAGTGCACGGTGAGTGCGCCCTCCTCGCCCTCCCGCAGCTGCGCGGAGCGGCCCCAGCGGCTCTGAGCCGGGCTGAGCCCAGGGTCGGGCTGCTCGGTCTGCTCCTGCCCTGGGCCTTCCGCCTGTCTCGGTCCTTGAGGCCCCGCGCCTGCCTGTCGTCCAGAACTCGGTTCTCACTCAGGGCGTGCTGCAGCGGGAGTGTGACTGCCGCCCTCCCGGCACAGCTGGCCCACACTTCTCATGTCTTCTCGTGTCTGGGTGACCCACACAGGCTGTGGCTGGGCAGCACCTGCAGCCTGTGCCCTGCGCAGAGGAAAGCTTCACTGGGCGTCACGGCTTGAGCCATGAGGGGTAAAATCTCTGTTTTTTTAAGTGAACACAAATAGAAGCCCTCTCAGACAGCCTCCCTTATGGAGTGACGGACCTGGGATGATGATCGGTAAGGCCTTTTTCACACACAGAAATCGGTCCCTCGTGAAAGGGGAGTAGGCCCAGTGAGGCGCTGATGGCTGCAGCTGAAACCTCTGGGAGCGCCTCTTCGTGACTTGCCCTGTTTCATGGATTCCAAGATGTACATTTTATTCTCATTTTACTACCTCGAGATCGGACTGTCTTAATATTGGTGCTGTTCAGGATTCAATGAACTATGTTAGCTCTGTTAGCAAGTTTTTCACTGAAATAAGATTCACATACTAAAGTGTATCATCGTTTAACAAGGTGCAATTTCTGTGATGTTTAGCATATTCACAAGTTGTGAATTACTAGCTAATTCCAGAACATTTTCATCACCCCAATCAGAGCCACATACCTGTGAGCAGTCACTTCCTGCTCTCTCTTCCCCTGACTCCCTGAGAGCCACTGATCGCTTCCTCCGCCTGAGCTTGCCTGCTGCAGACAGTCAGTAGAAATGAGACCGCGCAGTGTGAGCCCTCGGCCTGGCCTTTTCGCTTAGCCTGTTCTTAAGGCTCACCCATGGTGCAGCGTGTATCAGCACTTCGTTCCTTCACATCGTGGCTAAATGGTATTCCATTGTATGGATAGGTGCTAGTTTTCTACCCCATTCATCGGTTGACGGATATGTTCACTGCTTTTACTCTTTGGCTATCATGAATATGCTGCCGTGAGCACTTGTGCACAAGTTTCTGTGTGGACCTACTTTCAGTTCTCTGGTGTACATGCTAGAGCAGAATTGCTGGGTCATATGGGAGCTCTTATTTTAACTTTTTGAGGACCAGCCGGACTGATTTCCAGAGAGGCTGCTGCACTGCTTACCTTCCCGCCAGCCGTGCGCGGGGTTGGTTTCTCCGCGTCCTTGCCAGCGTGAGTTGCCCGTCTTCTGGTTCCCGCCATCACGGCGGACTGCGGGGCAGGCCGCTGTGGTTTTGACTCGTGTTTGCCTGAGGACTGATGAAGTTGAGTGTCTGCCCATGTGCTTACTGGCCTCTTTATATATCTTTTTTGGAGAAATGTCTACTCAAATATTTTGCCCACTTTTAAATTATTTGTCTTTTTATTGCTGAATGGTAGTACTTCTCCTAGACCTTATGATGAGCAAATATTTTCTCCCATCCTGTGGGTTTTCTTTTCATTTTCTTGATAGTGTCCTTTGAAGCACAAGGTTCTGAGTTTTGACAACCTGCTTTGCCCCACCCTGTGTCTAGCTTTATAGGGCAGCACCTCCTTGTAGGTCTTTAGTCCATTTTGAGTTCACTTTTGTATTCAGCGTGAGGGACGGTCCAACTCCCTTCTTTCGCACGTGGCTCAGCCGTTGTCCCCGTCCTGTTTGTCGGGAGGCTGTTCTTCCCCTCGGCCGGCTTTGGCGCCCTTGCTCACAATCAGATGGCCCTGAGCACAGGAGCTTGTTTCTGAGCTCTCACTGCCCCTGCGTGGATCTCTGTGTGCTGCCCCAGGACCACCGTCAGGTTATCGTAGTTTTACAGTAAGTTTTGAGATTGGGAAGTGTCAGTCCTCAAATTAGCCCTCCTTTTGTAAGACTGTTGGCTCTTCTGGGTCCTTTGCAGGAAGTTATTTTCTGAGCCTTAGTCCTCCGCCTTGAGCCCTGAGCGGCAGAAACAGATCAAAGGCCCTTGGGCTGCGTGTGCTCAGATAGTCAGAAATGGGGGGGGGGGGGGGGGGTGAGAATGAGACAGTGCCTGCTGGTTTCCCTGTCATTCTGAGGTCAGTTCTCACAGGTACATTGGATGCTGCTGCAGGATCCTAAGTATACACTCCTGGTCTCCCCAACCCCACCCTCCCTGCCCTCCCTGCCCCCTCACTCGCTCCTTCCCTCCGTCCTACCTTCCGTCCCTCCCTCCCTCCCTCCTTCCTTCCCTCCTTCCCTTCCTCCTTCCTCCCTTCCTTCCCAAGGTGTTCCTTTCATCTGGCACGAAGTACTAGGGACGCAGAAATGAACAAGACCTAGAAGGAAACTGCGGTCGTGGAGCATGTACCCTAGTGGGGAGCCAGGTCTCAGGGCGATTAAGATCGTTCTAAATTGTGTGAGGGAGCTTAAAGGGGGAGGGTGGTTAGCATGATTAAGAATGTCAGAGAAGTGCTCGCGGGGATGACCTACAAGGTGGAGAGGCAGTGAGCCAGGCCAGGGCCGGGGGGCGGGGGCGGGGGCGGGGGAAAGGGTCTGGCCAAAGGGGACTGTGTGCCAGGGCCCAGCCCGGAAGAAGCCAGTGGGCTCAAGGACCTGAGGAGATCGAGGTGGCCAGAGCGAGGGCGAGGCCACGAGGACTCTGGAGTTTATTCTCAGCACATTCAATGCACAGAACAGTTCCAATCAGGGAGGGGCATTGGGAAATAGTTAAAAATAACATTTGAAAGAGTTTTTGCTGATGGTCTCACAATGTGCTGCTGTTGGTTTTAACAAGCAGAAAACATAACTAAGTAATGCCACATTCCCAATTTTGGTGTAAAAAAGAATGTCTGCAGTGCCAGCAGAATGAGACGTAGCTGGGGTCAGCGGGCTGTCCCTGGCGGGCAGCGCTGTCATCCCTCTGCACTTTTCAGTCCCGGCCAAGTTTCCCAGAAATGCCAGGTGTCAGTTCCCTAATCAGAAGGGAGGTTGTTACTGCTGAGTTGACGCTCCTGGCTGCACTGCGGGGTGGAGCAGACAGGGCTGGGGAGGAGCGTGTCTGGCCCAAGGCCAGGCTCCCGCGTTGGGTCCGGGGCGCCCTCACTCACCAAACCCGCCTCTTCCCAGTTCGAGGGCTGCTCAAAGGCCTACTCGCGCCTGGAGAACCTGAAGACGCACCTGCGGTCCCACACCGGGGAGAAGCCGTACGTGTGCGAGCACGAGGGCTGCAACAAGGCCTTCTCCAACGCCTCGGACCGCGCCAAGCACCAGAACCGCACCCACTCCAACGAGGTACGCCAGCTGCTCCGGCCCCACGGGCACGCGTGCACACACATCGCCCCGTGTCCTCAGGACGACTGGAGGCCAGGTGCCAGGTGCCCCTCCCCACTGAGCTCTGTCAGCTCAGCACACAGGGCCTGAGCAGCTGGTGAGGCCAGGCCTGCCGCTAGTGCTGCCAGTCCCGCTTGGCCTATGAGGGACACGGGGCAGCCTTTGTCTCCCCCGGGGGCCCTGGGAGGGAAGTGGGCGGGAGCCCATGGCGTCCGCTCTGCCCACCTCCCAGGCCCTGCCCTGCTGATCAAATGCTGTCACTCAGGGCGACTCCGGAAAGAACATTTCTAAAAGCTTAGATACATTTTTTAATATATTTCTATTGATTTTTAAAAAGAAGGGAGAGGGAGAGAGAGAGACATCAGTGATGAGAGAAAATCATTGATTAGTTGCCTCCTGCATGCCCCCTACTGAGGATGGAGCCTGCAACCCAGGCATGTGCCCTGACAGGGAATCGAACACTGGATCCTTCAGTCCATGGGCCGACGCTCTATCCACTGAACCAAACCAGCTAGGGCTTAGATACATTTTGAACCCCTAAGGGACTTGCTCCAATGCTTGTAAGAAGTTAGAGGACTTCCCAGAGGTATCTGAACCCCAGTCTCTACAGATGAGCTGGCCTTGAAGAGGGGTGTGTGCCTGTGTGTATGCCTGTGTGTTAATACGGGTATGCATGTGGGTGTGGTCGTATATGTGTATGCATTATGTGTGGGGAAGGATGTGGGTGTGAATTTGTAAGTATGTACACATGTAGGTATGTGTGTGTGTGTGCTTTATATGTATATGTGCATGTAGATGTGTTTGTAAGCATATGTACTCCTGCATGTGTATATGCGTGTGCCTGTATGTATTGGGTATGTGCCTGCGTGTAGACATGTGTGTACACATATAAATGTGCATGTATGTATGTGGGTGTAGCGTGTGCATGTATGTGAGCTCAGGACTGAGGTTCAGAAACCCTGGTTTTCATCCCATTGCCGGGCAGCTTTGAGCCAGTTCCTCTGCCTCTGACCCGTCTTCTCCTCCGCAGAGAGCCTGGGCTCCAGCGCTGCCTCACGGCACAGGGAAGTGTCACCTTCACTCCTGATGTCCAAAGTCCCCGCGCCCTGGTCAGGGAGGCGGGATGGTCACACCAGGCTCTGTCCCCCCCCTCCAGCCTCTGATCTCCGTCCCCAGGTGTGGCGGGGGCTCCCTTAGCCACATGCTCACCTGCCGGAAATGTGCACACAGCTGGTAGGGCAGGCCCCTTCCATCAGATGGCATGGCTGCGAACGGGGCGCGCCTTCCAGCGGTGGCAGCCAGGCTCTGCCACGGGAGGCGGCATGGCTTCCGGAGGGGAGTGCGCCCATGCCGAGTGCCTTCGTGGCCCATCCGTCACGCCGCCTGCTTCTCTCCCAGAAACCCTACATCTGCAAGATCCCAGGCTGCACCAAGCGCTACACGGACCCCAGCTCTCTCCGGAAGCACGTGAAAACCGTGCACGGCCCAGACGCCCACGTCACCAAGAAGCAGCGCAACGACGTGCACCTCCGCGCCCTGTTGCTCAAGGAGAATGGGGACCCCGAGGCCGGCACTGAGGCCGGCGGCCAGCGCTCCGAGGAGAGCGCCGAGGCCAGCAGCACCAGCCAGTCCGCTGAGGACTGCCTGCACGTCAAAGCCATCAAGACCGAGAGCTCCGGGGTAAGCAGAGTTGGGCAGTGGAGGCCCTGTCCCCCAGGAAGCCACGCCCAGCAGGCCAGGCCCATTCCAGAGCACTGCCTGGGGTCCAGCGCCCCACCTGCAGCTGGGGGCCCTCCCAGGCCCGCTCTCTAAGCACCCCACATTGTGCCTCCTTTCTCCAGCTCAGTTGTCCTCCCTTCACCGCCGTGGGCCTCACAGAAGCTCTGTGGCAGGTCCCGTGGTGCTGGGCAGGCTGTGGGCGATGGAGTGCCTGCCCCCACGCGGCCAGTCTGCGAGGGGCGGAGTGGCTGCCGGTGTCTGCCTTCTAACCAGCACCAGAGCCGCCTCGGGCTCCCTGCCCGCTGTCCTGTCTGCATCCTCACCCCTCTGGCCTCCACTCCTTTCGTTCTAACCACCTGTTCTTTGTCTCCACCTCTTTTCCCCGACTGTACCTCCCCCAAGGATAGACGTTACTGAGGTGAGCCTGAGGGGGCGGGGCGGGCTGGCATGAGTGAGGGTGGGCTGGGGGCTTGTCCAGGGGAAGGTGGGTTTGGATAGGTAGACGGCAGGTAGGACCCTTGGAACAGGCAAGGCTGGCAGCAGGAGTCAAGCTGACAGGCCCAGGAGCAAGCATTGGCGACCTCCCCGCATGAGGGACAGGCAGAGTGGAGGTGGGTTAGGGCTGCAGAGGACAGGACTGACCTACAGAAGGTGTGGAGTGAGCTGAGGACCGTGGGTGGTGCTGGACAGGACGGAGCTTTGCCGCTTCCCAAAGAGAAGTGTGGAATTTGGGAGCAATCAGCCTAGAAACGAGCCCAGAGGTGCTCCCCCAGCGTCAGCCTCACTGGGGCTCAGGTCCGTGTTCCGTGGGTTCTGCACTGTCATGTGCCATGAGCTCCCAGCCCCTCTGCCCCGGCCCAGCGCGAGGGCTGCTGGGATGGCCCTTGGACAGGCCCCCTCCCGCCTGTCCCTTCCCTTCTGAACACGCTCCCCGCGGCCTGCCGAGAAGGCAGCCGCAGCGCTCCTTGTCCCTTCCTTCATCGTGCACATTGCGGTTGTTGGGAATGCTCAAGTGCCTTTCATGTCAACCTCACGCGGCTGCGGCTGCTTCTGTGGGCACAGCTTCAAGGTGCCCACCTGTTGACGACTCGCCAGCTCCGAGTGGGGTGGGGCGGGCTGGCATGAGTGAGGGTGGGCTGAGCAGGGACGGTGCGGGGCAAGGCGGCTGACAGTTACTGGTGTCCTCTCCACGCCAGTGAGTCCCTCCCACCCACCGACTCTGTCCTGAAGGCAGTTCAGGCCCATCTTGTAGCTGGGGAGGCCAAGGTTGAGAGAAGATATTATTTGAACGGTCCTCACAGGGCAGCTTCCTTCCCACCCCTGGGTGTGCAAGGGTGCCTTGTGGGTGCAGTCCTGGGCGCAGGCCAGGTGGGTCCTCACACCGCTGATCTGACCTCACCCCGTCCTCTACAGCTGTGCCAGGCCAGCCCTGGGGCCCAGTCATCCTGCAGCAGCGAGCCCTCTCCCTTGGGCAGTGCCCCCAACAATGACAGCGGGGTGGACATGCCGGGGACGGGGCCTGGAAGCTTGGGAGACCTGACAGCGCTGGATGACACGCCCCCGGGGGCCGACACCTCAGCCCTGGCCGCCCCTTCCGCCGGCGGCCTGCAGCTGCGCCAACACATGACCGCCATGCACCGGCTAGAGCAGCTCAAGAGGGAGAAGCTCAAGTCACTTAAAGATTCCTGCTCGTGGACCGGGCCAGCTCCACACCCCCGGAACCCCAAGTTGCCTCCCCTCCCGGGAAGCGGTGAGTGGAGGTCCTGGTGTATGGGCTGGGTCGGGGGGAGGGGGACAGAGCCTGGGGCAGCACCCACCAGGTTCATGCCCATCAAGTGCTGTGTGTCCTCTCACTGGCCACAATAGGGTGGATCTTACCAGCCCCTTGCACAGACTAGGAAACTGAGGCTCACAGAGATGAAAGGGCCTCACTTAAACCAAAGGCAGAGCTGAGACTTAGCCCAGGCTTGAGTGGCTGCAGATCCCATGCTCTTTCAACTACACCATGCTGCACCCCACAACCCCCTAAAAACAGGCACACCCTGCTCACATCATCCTCATCCTCATGATTCATTCGGCCTCTTAGGCACCTGTGTGGGCACCATGGCAAAGGCCCTGGGCAGGAGTGATAGAGTCTCACTCCTGTGGTTAGAGGGAGCATTCAGTTGAAGGCCATGCCACCAGATGCACAGTCACCCGCAGAATGAGCCAAACAGCACGGAGGTAGAGCTGTGTCGGGGAGAGAGAAAGCATGTCCACTAGGGAAGGGCAGGGAGGACTTCCTGGAGGAGGCAGCCCTGTGTTCAGCCTCAGGAGGTGTTGGCCAAGTTTTGAGATGGAAGGCTGTTTCACCAAGCACTTCTCGGGTGCTGACCCTGTGCCAGGCCGTGCACCAGCCACTGGGGCACTTACCCTCCAGGCTCCCTCGGGGACTGACGGCCAGTGTGGACCACAGTGTGGGCTAGTGGGATGTGAACACGGGGATGCACCACCAGCTCTTCCCTAAGCAAGGACTTGTTGACTCAGCTGTGAGGGAACTGCTAGCAGATGGCCTCACCTCTCCGCCTCCTGCAGAGATCGCCTGGGCCGCTGACAGCTGCCTCACCAAGGCCACCCTTCCCAGGGTGGCCTCCATCCAGGGACCGATCACTGCCAGAGTGTAAGGGCTGTTTGAGGCCCGGAGCTCCCCAGGGGTCTGCCAAGGCTGCCGTCAGGCCTGTCACTGCTCACTTCTCCCTGCCCCCCTGCTCCTTTCCTCCCTCCCGTGGGCATGGGTCTCGACCCTCCCTACAGCAGCCTGCTCAGTCAGCCCTGTCCCAGGAGCCTGGCTGGCAGCCCCCCCAGAGGGTGAGGGCCAGGCCCTCCTGGGCTCTCCTCCAGAGCTCAGTCCACGGCGAGGACACCGTCCGCAGCTGGGAATGCAGAGCGCCAGCTGGATGGGAACTCAGGGCCGGCCGGGCAGTGGGAGAGCCACGCGGCGTCCGGCCCTGACTCTGCTGCCCACGCTCTGCAAGGAGGGCCACGTTCGCCCACCTCTGCTCCTTACCGCTTCCACCAGAAACCGTGGCTGAGTGCCTGCCGGGCACCAGGCCGGGTCCCAGGGCTCCGGGCTGCAGCCTCGGCCTGGTCCCGCGGGCAGGGCACCGCTCCCACCGCCCCGTGCTGACCTCTTTCCTTCCCCACAGGCTCCATCCTGGAAAACTTCAGCTGCGGTGGGGGCGGCCGGCCGCCGGGGCTGCTGCCCAACCCGCGGCTGTCCGAGCTGTCGGCCAGCGAGGTGACGGTGCTGAGCCACCTGCAGGAGCGCCGCGACAGCTCCGCCAGCACGGTCAGCTCGGCCTACACCGTGAGCCGCCGCTCCTCCGGCATCTCTCCCTACTTCTCCAGCCGCCGCTCCAGCGAGGCCTCGCCCCTGGGCGCTGGCCGCCCTCCCCAGGCCAGCTCGGCGGACTCCTACGACCCCATCTCCACGGACGCGTCCCGGCGCTCCAGCGAGGCCAGCCAGGGCAGCGGGGTGGGCACGGGCCCGCTCAGCCTGACGCCCGCGCAGCAGTACAGCCTGCGAGCCAAGTACGCGGCGGCCACGGGCGGGCCGCCCCCCACGCCGCTGCCAGGCCTGGAGCGCGGGAGCCTGCGGGCCCGGCTGGCTCTGCTGGATGCATCAGAGCGCGTGTTGGGGCCCCGGCGAGGCAGTGGGGGGCTGGCCTATGGCCACGCAGGGCCTGCACCCGCCTTCCCCCACGAGGCATGCGGCAGCGGGGCGCGGCGGGCCAGTGACCCAGTGAGGCGGCCGGACGCCCTGGCTCCGCCGCGGGTGCAGCGCTTCCTCAGCGCCCACGATGTGAACCCCGGCCCGCTGCAGCCCTGCGCGGCCGAGAGGCGCGGCCTCCACCTGCAGGGTCCCGCCGGCGCTGAGGGCAGCCTAGCCCGCGGCACCTACTCCCCCCGGCCACCCAGCATCAGCGAGAACATGGTGATGGAAGCCATGGCGGTGGGGACAGATGGGGCAGGGCCTGAGGGCGCGCTCCTGCTGCCCGAGGACGACCTGGTGCTGCCCGACGACGTGGTGCAGTACATCAAGGCACATGCGGGCACCCTGGGCGACAGCGCCCTGCAGGCATATCCCCCCGAGAGCTCCTGCTTCCCTGAACAGCCCAAACTGCCCAGCCCGGGGCTGCAGGGCCAGCGCAGGATGGTGGCTGCGGACTCCAACATGGGCCCCTCCACCGCTGGGCTGGGAGGCTGCCAGCTGGGCTACGGCGCCCCCTCTGGCCCGAGCAAAAGCAGCATGCCTGTGCAGTGGAATGAGGTGAGCTCTGGCACCATGGACGCCCTGAGCAGCCAGGGGAAGCCTCCGCCTGTTCTGCAGGGCAACCTGGCTGTGGCGCAGCAGAAGCCGGCCTTCGGCCAGTACCTGGGCTACGGTGCACAGGGCGTGCCGCCGAGCCCTCGGGGTCTGGGCAGCACGCAGCCACACCTGCGGCCCTGCAGCGGAGCCCCCTCCGGGCCCAGGGGGAATCATATGCAGCAGCTGCGGCAGGCGGGGGGCCAGTGTCCCAGCATGACCACCACAGCGAGCCCCCATGCCAGCTATGGCCAAGGCCACCCCCAGCTGAGCTCCAGCACCATGGGCGGGGCCCTGAATCCATTCCCCGCATCCTGCAGCAACCTGGCAGCCAAGCCCGGTCACCTGGGGCTGCCCCAGCAAATGGAAGTTGTTCCCGACCCCTCCATGATGGGTAGTAGACGCAGGGAACTTGGGGCCCCCAATGCCACCCTGGCCGGGATGGCACCACTTCATGCAGCCCAGAGCTACCCACAGCAGAGCCATCACCTGGCATCCCCCATGAGCCAGGAGGGCTACCACCAGGGCCCCAGTCTTCTGCCTTCCCACCAGCCCGGCTTTCTGGAGCTGCAGCAGGCCTCAGGGGGGCTGGCTGGACCCGGCTTTGGCCTAGTGCAACCCCGGCCACCTCCTGAGCCCAGCCCTGCTGGCCGCCACCGTGGGGTACGTGCTGGGCAGCAGCTGGCCTATGCCAGGGCCGCTGGCCATGCCATGGCTGCTGTATCAGCCAACCAGGAGATGGCAGAGTCTGTGCCCAAGGGAGCGATGGGCACTATGGCATCCTTGCCTCCTCAGCTGCCCCCACAGGACACGGGTGGAGCCCAGGACCACAACATGCTTTACTATTATGGCCAAATCCACATGTATGAACAGAATGGAGGCCTGGAGAACCACGTAGGCTGCCAGGTCATGAGGCCCCAACCGCCGCAGCCACAGGCCTGCCCGGAGGACCTCCAGCCCCAGCCCTTGTCCTCACCAGGCGTCAACCAGGTGTCCAGCACTGTGGACTCCCAGCTGCTGGAGGCCTCCCAGATCGATTTCGACGCCATCATGGATGATGGTGATCATTCGAGCTTGCTCTCAGGCGCCCTGAGCCCCAGCCTCCTCCATAGCCTCTCCCAGAGCTCCTCCCGCCTCACCACCCCCCGGAGCTCCCTGACTCTGCCCTCCGTCCCCACGGGCACCAGCAACATGGCCGTCGGGGACATGAGCTCCATGCTGACCAGCCTGGCCGAGGAGAGCAAGTTCCTCAACATGATGACCTAAGGCCCCGGCCCTGGTGGAGGGGACCCCGAGGAATCCTTTCCAGAGTGGGGTGTCATCCATTTTGTCTTTTTCCAAAAAAGTATTACTAGGCCTGGGGTGGGGGGAGGGTGCTGTGGTTCAGACCACAATGCTTTAAGGCAAGTTTACGTGCACCCTGTCTGGTCTTCTTTGGGGTTACTTTTGGAACACTGACCAAACCTCAGCAGGAAGGCTCGTTTACACAGTGCTCACGCCTCCGGTGTTTAGGGGACCACTCTGCTGCGGCTCCTTCGCCCGTCACAGAGGGGTCCCACCGGCCAGGGCTTTCCAAGTACACGAGGAAAAGGGCAGAGGAACACATTTGGGTTTGAATCAAAGCCGTACTGGATGTTGTAATCCAGGAAGATGAGCTTCTATGCCGATCCTGCAAGGAGGAGGAGTTGCTGGCCCCGGAATCCTCCCGCAAGCTGGCCGTGAGGCCGCTACCGCCCTGGTCGGAGGAAAGAGTTTACCCAGGTGACTCAGGCACATCCTGATTCTAGGGGGGTGGAGCCGGCATCTCTACCCACAGAGCCAGGCGTGCACCTGGCACACGGCCCGCGTGTACAGAATGAATAAAGGACGGAAGTTGCCAGAAAAGGGAAAGAAGACACGGTGACGCTCGGGGTGCTCAGAGGCGGCGGGCCTCCAGGCGTGTTTACAGCGTCCACGCGTGTAAACGTGGCCCTCCCTGAAAGGAACACTCCCTTCTGAATGCCCCGGGGCTGCTGGAGCCGCTGCGGCCACGGATGACCGAGGGGCCCACGCGTGGACGGACCTTTAGGACGTGAGTGCACAGGGCCCAGCCTCGGGCGCCTGGCGTAGGAAGAGTCACATGTTTACCCAGCCCTGTTTCCCCAGGGCACTGCCCGCCCACTCTGCCCCAGGCCCTGATGGCCGCCTCTCCAGGTGCCTCCAGCCACGCTGCCCACTCTCCAGCAGCCCGGGGTCCCTGCCGAGTCCCGGCACCCCTGGATCCCCTCCCTCTGCCTCTGCCCTCATTCGTTCCAGAGAATGATGATGTGCATGGCGTCTTGGGGGGAGGCGGAGGGGGGCGGGAGGGGAAGGAGGTGCTTCCTCCTCCAGGTGGGATTTGGAACTGGCATCAGGAGACATTCCTGAACATAGTAGGATGAGTGGGTGCATCCTCCCCAGCACCAGCCCCACACCTTCCCCGTGTTGAATTCGTGGCATCCTTGCCAAAACCAACGGTACCACTAGGAGCTTGATACTGACTGTGACCTTACCCGGGTCCGCTGCGTCCCAGAACACCCAGGGCTTTGTTAGGCTCCAGGAAAGGCCAAGTCCAAATCACAGCCCCGGGGTCTGGGCTCTGGTGGTCATCCATTCCCTGAGCTAAGATGTCACACCATTCCACCCTGTATATAGTCTGTACAGAAGACATCGCCCTGAAAATACTGTAGGTGAGTCCTCCAGCCAAGTTTATATCTCCAAAACATTTTTAGCTTTTTCTACCTGCTATGGATTGAGATGACATGCTCAACTTGTAAATAAGTCCTTTTGTACATTAAAAAAGTAATTTTTTCATAATTTATTTTGTCTCCCTGCTTCCTCCTTGACACAGTTAATGAGGACCTGGGCAGTAAATTTGGTGCATTTGAACAGAAAGTAGGCTGTATTTTTCCTCAACAGTGTCAGAATGGACTATTTCACATTTGCCCAGAAATATTTAATGCGGATGCATTTGCTGGCTGTGTGTGTGCTGCCTCTCTGGGGTGGGGGTGGGGTTAGCATGTCACAGTCAGTATCTGGCTGCTCTTCCAGGGGCTGCTCTGAATATCTGCGCTGGACAAATGGAGAGCCATTCGTCCCAGACCCAGGGGCACCCTCACCCAGCGCCTCCTCTCTGAGGGGCAGCCCAGCACCCTCACCCACAGCCTCCCCTCTGAGGGGTAGCCCAGCACCCTCACCCACAGCCTCCTCTCTGACCAGGGGCAGCCCAGCACCCTCATCCTGAGCCTCCTCTCTGACCAGGGGCAGCCCAGCACCCTCATCCTGAGCCTTCTCTCTGAGGGGCAGCCCAGCACCCTCACCCTGAGCCTCCTCTCTGAGGGGCAGCCCAGCACCCCTCACCCACAGCCTCCTCTCTGACCAGGGGCAGCCCAGCACCCTCACCCTGAGCCTCCTCTCTGAGGGGCAGTCCGATGGTGTGGCAGTTGGGCGGGGCGGGGAGGACAGGCAGGCCGGCTGTGCTCTGGTGCAGAAGGAGTCAGGGCAGGAAGCTGGAGTCTAGGATACCGGCAGCAGCCGTGGGCGAAGGGGTCCGGGGGGAGCAGCCCTGAGCAGGACTCTGTCCTGGGAGGTGACCCTGGCAGGTACACAGGAAGGCTCAGGTCTAGTAAGAGATCAGTCAACCACGGGAAGAGACGGCCACCCAGTGGGGCCAGCGCCTAGGGTGTGAGGCCGGGGGTGAGCTCTGGACTGGGACAGGACAGCAGGGAAGAGGCTGCGGGGCTGGGTCGAGGGCGGGTGTACATCCTGCGTGCCCCCTCCTCTCCCTGAGGGAAGGCACTGGTGGCGCACTGGGAAGGAGCCGTGGGGGGTGTTTAAACTCAGGGCCATGCTGTGGGTGGGACCATGTGGCCTGAAGAAGGTTCCGGGTACAGAAGCGTAGGAAACACCAAGGAAAATGGGACCTAGCCGTTTCCTTTCTGCAGAGCGTCTCCAGTCCACCCGTGTCAGGGGAGCCCCCACTTCCCCGGCGGCAGTTTCCTGGTGGAAAGACGCAGCCAGAGTTGCCTCCTGGCCTCGCTCCTCCCGGGGGCTCGCCCCGCTGCTTGCACACTCCGGAGGGGGGCCGAGCGTGCCTGGCCCACCCTTTCCTCCACCTCCTTCAAAGCTCAGCTCCAGGCTCGGCACCTTCGCTTCATGTTAAGCTTCTGGAAGCAGCTCTGCTCTGCTTGGGGGACCGAAGTTGCTCAGTGCTGCCTGCGGCGGGATGAGCCACAGCTTTAAGAAGCCCTGGTGGCCATTCAAGTGACGCATCCTCCGTCAGTGCCTGACAATGTCCACGAAGCCTTCAACCTCTGGAGCAAGACGCATGTAGTAGCTCCTGAACCTGGGTCAGCCGCGGCGGCCGGTCCCGCTGGGCGGGGCGGGGCTGGGCTGGGCGGGCCGGCAGCTCTGCGCGCAGCCGGGGGCAGCTACTCTCGCTGGCCTGGCTGGGCAGCTTGGGCCTGTTCCCGTGGCTCTCGTCCTCCCCCAGGACCAGGACGCTGGCTTGAGCACTGCTTTCTGTGGCAACAGCAGAAGCACCAGAAGCAAGAAGAAAGTGTGGGTCCTTGAGGACCAGCGCACCATCGGTTTCACCTCATTCCTTTGGCCAAAGCAAGTCACCTGGCCAAACCATCACGGCCGATGTCAGGAAGGGCACGCGTCCACGGGAGTGGGAGGGAGAGAGCACTTCTCAGCGATAATTCGTAGGCCAGGTGACATCCTCCCCGTTGCAGTGCGTTCGTCCACGACCCCGTCTCTCCAGCCAGTCAGCAGAGTCAGGGTCTAGGTCCTGTGTGCTCTGCGTTCATTCTGGACGCGGCTCTTCTTGACCCAGAGTCTTAGGAACTAAAGAAGCTGGTCCTTGCCCCGCGCACACCCAGCACGCAGTGGGGCAGGGCTGGGATCACGGCCATCGCAGCCACTGTTCCAGCACCCGAAGTCTGCGGGGCGGAAGTGCCAGTGCCTCTACCCTGGTGAAGTGTGCCCCTGGCGATCCGCAGTCCCCTGTGCTCCCCGCTGCCCCCAGTGGGGGTCTTCCTACTCCATCATCCTTTCCACTCTGGAAGCAGCACTGGAAAGCGTGTCCCCTTAGGCGGTGGAGTAGCTCTCTACCTCTTCTTGCCTGAAGGAAGGTGGGAACCTTGAGGTCCTTTCCATTGTAAAGCCTCGGTCCCCTGTACTCCACGCTCACATGCACTTGCCCGTCAGCTCTCAGACACTGTGGCTCTTCTGCATGGATGGTTCCAGTCACTCGTGCCAGTTCCTCTCTACACTTGGCTACTGGCACCTTCGGGCTGTGTGGGGCCATGCCCTGAAGGTTCCCAGGCACCCCGTTATCACTGAGAGGATGCTCTAGAGCCACCTTTCTCCTTCCAGGGCCTCAGACAAAGGGCCTTGCCATCCAGGGGCACATCCCTGACTCTGCTCAGAGCTGCGTGCCTCTGGCACAGCCTGGATTGGGTCTGGGCACCTCAGGCCAAGCCTTAATCTGAAGATCTTTCAGCGGCTGGAGGACTGGAGATGAGAAATAACTTTATTTTCTAGATTCTACATGCGAATGGCGGGTTCCTTTCTGAACTCATCTTTTACTTGAAGCACCTTGTCCTTGATGGCTTGAAGAAGCTCAGTGTCACAAGGCCGTCCCTGGAAACGCTGCCCACGTCCATAAGTGCAGAGGTACGCTTCCTCCTCCCAGATCGCCACGCGCAGCCATGCTACCAACTGTTTCTTCACCACACAGCACGGGTCAGCACTTTTCTGCCACTTTTTAACCTTCTCTGAATCCCCTCACTGCCCAGTTCCAAACCTATGCTACACGTTTGAGGACTGTTACAGCAGCTTCCCACGCCGTTTTCTGAATAAGTTAACCAAGGCCCAGTAATGCCACTTAAAGTCCTTTATTCCGCCCAGGAATCTACGAGGCTGCCGAGGGGACCACGCCTGGGTGAGCGCTGAGGCAGCGCCTTCTTCGGTGCCGCCTCTCCGGGCCCCGAGCGGGCTGGGACCTCTAACAGCGACGGCACAAGCACAACAGGACAAGCAAAGCACAGGAGGCCCTCGAGGCCTCGGCTCGGCACAGAAAGCACGTCACATGCCTGGCCCCACGTCGGCGGAGGGAAGCACATGCTTCTAGAATTAGAGAGACGGGTATCTGACAAGAATCCCATCTAGCAGCCCACTCACCCCGCTTTCATACGACTGACCCTGTAGCCTCCATCTGCCTCCTGACTCTGTATCTTGGTTGGTTCTACACCCAAAGGGGGAAGACAGTGGGCTCATTCATTGGTGCCGTCAGCAGTGATGTGCCAAAGCCAGTTCCTGCACCTCTTCCCAAACTCTGCGTTCAGAGACTTTCATTACTTGGCATTGGCCATATTGGGAGAGTTTACACCACAGGGATCGGCAAACACTACAAATCAAGGTGTCCCCCTCTTCGCCTGCAGAGAGCCTCTTGTTAATCATTTGCAGTGTGCCTAATACCCGCTCAAATGCTGCGAGTTGCCAACAGCCTCATATGCCTGGAGGTTTTCTCCAAGTTTATATGTCCACACGACCCATCCTGTGGAGACCTGATGAGTCCGGGTGTCATGGTCACAACTACCGTGGTCATCAGTGGCCTTCTGATTTTAACAGTCATGCATTCGTTTGTTCAAGTGGAACTGGCTCTGTAAGGTCAAGGACTCAGTTAAAAGTGGAGCTGGAGCTGATCCAGCTGAAGTTGGGAGCAGGAGACTCAGAACCTCCACACATCCCACCTCCCTGACCACCTAACCAGGAATTCCCTGCAACTGAGCGGGGAAGACCCCTCTGTGGCGGCACCTGGCTGTCCTCCAGACACAGGACCTCATCTGCTAATCAGCGCAATTCCAGTGGCACAGACATGGAGACACAGAGTGGAATTTGAAACCAGCTATCTAGTTCAGCGATTTCCAACCGGTGGCCGCAAGAGTGTTTAAAACATGCAGTACCAGGCTACTTAGTCAGGGCACTGCCCGCTTTTCCCTTCGACTGTCAGACAGAAAAATGACAACAGCCCACACAATAGCCATCGGGTGTGAATAGATCCAAATTACACCTTTTTTGTCAGGTCAGGAAAAATACATACTTTTGGTGTGCTGCAGAATGTTAGTAATCGGCTTATGTACCAGGAGGTGGAAAAGGTTGAAAGTAGCTGATCCAGTTCAACACCATGAACTGAGGCACACGCGGAGGAAAGCTGCGCGCACGTTAGGCAAGAATTGGAACCCCCACAGCACCCCTGAGGTGAGCTGGCTCCCCCAGCACGCTGCAGACACAGGGCCCCGTCGGCGCCTCCAGCTGCCCTCTGCCCGGCTGGGAGCCGCCAGGGCCGGAGCCGTCTCTGATTCACCTGGTCTCCCAGGCCCAGCACCTGGGGGCCCAGCAGGAGTTTTCATTAATTCTGCTCAGGTGTCTGCCCGTCGGTAGTTCCAGAGGCTTCGGGAAGGAGGGGAGGGGGCAAAGCTTTGAGAGACACAGAGAAATTGAATCTTGTGAGTGGCCCTTCAGAACATATTGGAACAAGGGCCGTTCTGTGCACAGAGAGGCCGCAGAAGCTTTGAGCGCCCTGGAGAGTTCAGGGTTGTGTTGCATTTTGTTCCTCCTGGATGAAGAGGAGGAGGAAGGAAGCTGGGCTGGCAGGCTGGGCTGAGCAGAGAGCAAAGGCCCTCATGCAGAATCTCATGGTGGGACCAACAGCTGTTTGTCACTGGGCTGAGGGTCTCTGATGGGGTCTTCCAACTTCAAAGTCCACTGGCCTCTGCTGTGGTTCCAGAAAATTACCATTAAAACATGTTTCCTTTGGGCGCAAACACGGAAGTCCTCTGAACATGATGCCAGTGT